CTTTCTTTCTCTCGTACATGAAGAAGAAGAAGAAGATGAAGATAATATCTCTTCATCCTTATCCCCTCTAACATATATATCCTTATCATATTTATTTTTAATTCATTAATTAGTTAAATGACCATTTTGTCCTCTACTTTATTTGATAATTACTAACAACTTTTAGGATTTATTTCCAGATAAATCATTGAACTAATCCATTCTTCTACTTTAATCACCAAATTCTGAAACTTTACCATTTAATCACTAACCCATAGTTTGGGATGTTACAATAGTAGTCTGATAAGCAAAAATATAAACAATTGAGGCAACGACATACAAAACCGGATCACTCAAACGGCCCCGAGCACAAAACATTAAGGAGAAAAACTTGAAGAAGATCCAAAACGAACAAATGAAAAATCTTTCTCCCCTTAACAACAATCTCATCCAACATAGATATTCGATAACCAATGGATCGTCATGGACAAACGAACAAAGAAACCAGACATTAGGAAAACAACCAACCATGAAATCATGTAGAATAACATACCTAGAAGAAGACCAATAAAAGAAACATTCATTGCAAATCCCAAAATACCGGTAGCCATGATATGCTTTACCAGAAAAAGGGCAAAGAAAAAATATTATTATTAAAATATGCTAAACTACAATTGAAAGCTAATAAAAGTAGATATGAATTAACCGAGAAGAGGAACAAAAGGACAAGAAGGTGGCCGTAGAAGGCCACCACCGGTGCCTAAAAGTTGGAAAGGTGTGTAACCGAGACGGTCAGGGAAAAATAATTGCGACATGGATGCAAACATGTTTGATTATGTCGAAAAAGAGAGCTAAATTTCTACCTGAAAATTGCAAGGTGAAACAGCTTCAGCAATGATGATGCATGATTTGATGATTACGAAGCAAGTTATAGCTTTATAAAATGAGGGTCCTCTCCAGCTAATGTTCTTTAGCCATTTCTTTTTTAAAAAAATTAGGTGTAATAGAAGGAAATCAAACTTTCTCTTTCTGTATGAAATTATGCAAATTTCTTTACAAACAGCTCATTCTTTTTCCTATATAAGGCATAGATTTGGAAACCCTAACCAATCTATATTTTATTATAGTAAAGCACCACCTTCTGATATAATACCTTTTCTTCTTTCCTTTTTTCTTTCCTGCTTCATTGATCATCAATGGTGAGACTCTGCGCTTCTGGCTGCAAGATGCTCGGTGCTTGAGTTGAGAATTCGATGTTGGCACGGTTCAGTCGGATCAAATCTCTCATCACGACTGAGCCATTTAGTCTGATTGAGCCGTGCCAATATCACATTTGGCCGTATATATATGATATCACCAACAATGAAACTATGGTTTTAATTCTTTTTCTTCTCGTTATTTTAGTAATTCATTGAAAGTGGTTTCTCAGTTCACTCATTGTGTATCATCTGAAGCATGCCATAAATCTTGTTGAATTAGCATTCAAATGCTGCACTATATCAAAACAAATCCATGCCGTTGATTCTTATATCATATCTAAGGCATTCAATCTTCATAATTTGATAGCACCCCTTCGATCCATAACTGCTTCCATGAATGGTTGTTCTAGTCGATTAATTAGTTGTCTTTATAAATATTACAAATTCGAATTTAATTTAATTTTTGATTACTTTAAATAATATTCCTGAATTTTTGGGTGGAAAACGACAATATTTAATTATTTACTATCAAGAAAAACTATTTTTCATGTTTTAAAACAGTCAGTTATTACTTCAATTGAAATAAAAATATTACTATCCCACTCGAAAATTTATTATTAACTCCAAATTCAAATGCATAAATAAAAATAAAATAAAAATAAAACAAATTAAATTTATTTTTTAAAAAATTATTTTATCAATATATTCGTAAAATTTGGCTAATAGAAAATTCATTTTTCTAGTCGAATTTACCTTGATCCAAGTTAAAAGGGTATTCGTTATTTTTCCTTAACGCTTTCTAATACTTTTTTATTCTTTGGTGCCAAGCTTTTTCCTATTTTTGGTCTATGAATGCCTAGAATTAGGGGTGATTAATGAGTTGAGCAGTTCAAACTCGACTCGATCAAAATTTAATAAAAATACTCGGATTGATTTGACTTGAGACCTTAACAAGCTGAGTCAAGTAAAATCTAACTCGACTCGATAAGTTGGCGAGCAAATTTTTTTACAATTTTTTAGTAGTTATTTTAAAAATTATTTCATTCAAAAATTACTAATTTATTAATAGATTTTATTAATAGATAATAAAAACATGATAAATGGCTAATCTATTAATTTATGGTATTAGTAAATTTTACCTATAGTTAGAAAAATAAGATAAACATTTTAGTGAATTTAACGAGCAACGAGGTGAGCAACGGACTTAACGAGCAAAGAACTTAATGAGCACGAGTCGAGAAACAATTTTTTTAACGAGCACGATTCGAACAACAAAATTTTTTAACGAACGCAACTCGCTCGATAAGCACCCCTACCTAGAATTGTTTTACCAGCTTATACTCACCATAACTTCTTTAATATCGATTGTTATTCAACAATTTTAAACTTACAAGATTATTGAACAACTTTAAACTTACAAGATTAATTAATTGTGATGAGTGTTTTGATCGATGTTGGTTTGATCGGGCTTTCTTCAGGCATCTCAATTTCTTCAATCGAAAGTGCGTAGTTGGTTTGATCGATGTTGTGATCTACAACTGAGGAGGAGAATCGGCTTATAACAAATTTAATTCCCTAAGAACAATATTAGCGGGGTACGTTAAGGGAAATCAAGATTGGGTTCGATTCTCATTGAGACACCATAATCCGAGAACAGGCTTTTCCCGTTCCTAACCAGCATTGGCGTTAATATCGATAGTCGATATTAATCCAAACAAGGGCTATTTTTCAAGGATTGACTTTGGAAATCAGTTCCCTATAGAGAAGAGTAAGTTACAAGGATTGAGCCTTGTAGATTGTAACTGACAAGTATCCGAAGTAAAATCTATTTCAGTGATCGAGACGGATTGAGACGAAGCGAAGCTAGAAGTTATATCTCATCTTTATTATTTCTTTACAATTTATTTCTTCTATTTTTTATTTTTTATTATTGATTTTGATTTAATTTAATTTATCTAGTTTACCTTATTATTCAAAGCCTTCCATCTTTTTAATTTTCTTGGTTTACATATTTCTTGGTTAAAGATCAATTCAGATTGAAATTAGAAATTTTCTAATCCTTGTGGACCAACACTCTCCTTCTCTATATCACATTCTTAACATAATTATTCGAGAAAAAAGAATGATTATTTGACAATTACGAGGTTTGTCAACTTGTCTCATTGAGTATATAATTTTTATAAGGGATAGTGATGAGGTTTTGCTTTATAATTTTTTTTATTTTTTGATTTTAGAATGACTTATAGAACCATTTTACTTTAGGGTTTTAGCCCTATTTCTCTCTCTCTCTTTATCTCTTGTGCCTCCGTTAGTATCTTCTCCATCTTTGTGACTAATGGTAACACTAATCTTAATGTTTGTCGTCGACCATCATTATTCATTAATTTTATTTTATTATATCATCATTGTTTTTTATAATAATTATGCTTTTATGACACGTTTTTCTGCCTTTATGGCACGTTTTCGGTAATTTGGCTATTATCTTTGTTTATTTTTTTCAAGGTTATATTTGACATTGTCACGACTGATCAAGATTATGTTTTGTTATCATAATAATCTTTCTTGCTTTGGAGCCTTGGATTAGATTTGGATATGAAATTTCCATTAACTCTTGGATAATTTTCTCACGTCAATTGATTTTGATTTGCAGTTGATCGGTTATCTTTTTATAGCTTGATCTCTTTTGTGGTTTGCTTTATGATACTATCATATCTGTTCGTATCTACTTTTTATTTGAGTTTATTTGGTTAGGTTTTTTTAACATTTTCCTTTTATGATTTTGAGTAACTAGTTTTGCGTGTTAATGATTATAAGAAAATATTATTATTATGTGTTTAGTTTATGGTTATGATTGTAAACATTAATTTTAATTTTAATATTTTTTATTTTTAATAAAACTAACTGCTTGTATCTCGTTAAAAAAAGAGACAAGAGACGAGCAATATAACAGGCAGCAAATTACCCTGTGAATATGACTGAAATGCAATACAAAGTTAGAAAAAGTAGTGAACTTGTAGAATATGATTGATAAGTTCTAAAAAGAAACAAATGATTGTATTAATCTTATTGAATTGGTGATGTAATCCATAACTCAAACCTTGGCTTAACTGAACGGAGGATCAGAATGACAATATTATGCTCTAAAAAGTGATAATGGTGTTAATGAATAGTCTCGATGGTGTTCTGCTCATAATGACAATGAGAGTACTGAATAGCTTTGACGACGCCATGTTCATGATTTTAATGACGAGGATAAGCCTCACCTATGTTCCTCTTGTGGTAGACGTAGTTCTCGAATCTAATACTCAAAAAAAGTTCATTCATCTCGTTGGACGGGCTCTTCGTAATATATTTTTAATAGTCTAGTGTGATTACAAGATAATATCTATCTAAAATATTTCTTAATTATTAATAACGCACACACAACTTCTAGAGAGAGAACAACACTTGGATTCGGTGACTGAGGTATACACTCAAACTTTTTGAAGTACTAAACCTTATTTTAATGACACACGCAGGCTGCAAAAACTTGATGAGATAGAAGTCTTTGCAAGAGAAAATGGAGAAATGTCTCCAACATGTCTAAACAACCCATTGCCCAACAGAAAAAGAAATGATCCTTTTATCACATGTCTAAATGATCAGCAGCCATTATGCATTTCTCTCTCATTGCCTAATGAGCTAATTAAGTACAAGAAAGAAAGAAAAACAAAAGAACATTTCTATGGTTACAACTATGGTTACAACTTTATTGTTTCATATAGACGGGTTACATTCAAGAATGTCGGCATGTCCCTTAACTAAGCCATCCAACATTTTCATCTACATATATATATGTGGATGATGATGGTCTTCAAAAGGGGTGTAAATCTGCATTTGATTCAAGATATGTTCAAAATTGTCGGTTGGCTTTTGTATAGGATGAGTGTGCATTCCTTCGTAGGTGGTGACTACCACACCTTCATCTTTGCTTAGACGTTGGACTTGCTTCTTTACATTACATCCTTCATGTGTGCATCGATAATAGCTTCTGTACATATACATGCGAAATTACTCATAACATTAGTTGAGCTCAAACCCCCTGCCTTTAGAAATCTTACAATATTATATATATAATGCTGATGACATACTTTTTTTGGATAAATAAATTTTATTACCCAAAGAAAGCAGTAGCTGCTACAAAAATAACCGATCACAAAAATAATGTACAATCAACTTACAACAAGGAAAGATCGGTTTAATCTATACCCCAAGAGCTACAAAGGAAAGAGTTAATTTTATCATTCCTATTGATAGTTTTTCCCCTTAATTTGATTAAAACAACTTCTTTGATGTAAATGAAGAGGTCTTCAACAGTTCTTGTTCGGTTTTGGAAGATTCTTCGGTTGCGTTCCTCCCACATAACATAGATTGAAGCACACCAAGCAATTTTTAAAATTGTTACAATGAGAGACTTGCCTTTCCAGGTGTTTATAGCCCAAGTAACCATGTCTTCCCAAGCTGAAACAATTTTCTTAATCCCATTATGTGAAAATATTGCTTCCCATAGATAAGAAGCAGTTGAGCAATCGAAGAACAAGTGGGAACGAGTTTCCATTGATGAATTACATAGAGTGCAGTCCACGGAAATAGTAATCCCCATACGTTGAAGTCATTCTCGAGTAGGAAGACGGTCTTGGAGAGCCATCCAAGCAATAATGCTATGCTTCGGAATATGAAGTGGGAACCAAATCAAGGATTGCCAGGAAGCTTTATCCCCATTAATTCTGATTTCTTTCCAGATTTCCCTTATGGTAGAGGATCTGTTTGAAATGGCAGGAAGAGTTTCATCACGTAGCTTGAGCAATCGATTAAAACTCCAACTGAATTTCGAGCCTCCCTCAATATGCCAGAAACTACACTCCTTTAAAACATTGTTGTTGATCCAAGCAACCCATAATGATCCTTCTCCAGCAAGAATGTTTTTGATAAGTTTAATCATGCAAGCTCGGTTCCAGCATTTAAGATTTTTCAGACCCAGACCACCCTCGGATTTAAGTTGCCAGATTTTATCCCAACTGACTCTCGCACCAGTAGCTGCAGAATCGGTTCCTTTCCAGAAGAAACGGGAGCATAATTGGTCAATTTTGTTGATAACAGCTTGGGGCAAAAGAAGCTATCTGCACCAATAGTTTGCTATACTAAACAGGACAGCTCTAATAAGCTCAAGTCTGCCAGCAAAACTGAGATGTTTTCCAGACCAAAGGTTAAGTCTGGATTTAATGCTCTGAATAATGTTATCACAGTCTTTCACTGCGAGTTTTCTAGTAATAAGAGGAATTCCTAGATAATGAACAGGCAAGCATCCAAGATTAAAACCAGTAAGGTGTTTGATGGTGTTGGCAGTTCTGGTTGAAATGCCAGCAGTAAAGAAATCGCACTTTGAAGCATTGAGATTCAAACCAGAAAATTCATAGAATTTTTTAAGAACAGAGGTTACACCTGCAACTGACTCCACATTTCCTTTACAGAATATCAATAAATCATCAGCAAAGGATAGATGAGTAAGACCTATTTGTTTACATTTAGGATGGTAATTGAACAGACCTCTAGCAGCAGATGACTGGAAAGTACATTCAGAGATATAACAAAGAGAATAGGTGATAGGGGGTCACCTTGTCTAATTCCTCTTGCACCTTTGAAGAACCCAATTAAAATACCATTAAAAGATATTGAATATCTTGGTTTAGTGAAGCATGCTTCAATCCAGCCAATGAATTTATTAGGGAGATCTAAAGCCTTCAAGACATCAATGATAAAGTTCCAATGGAGTGTGTCAAAAGCTTTTTGAAGGTCAATTTTCATTGTACATCTAGGGGATATGTTTTTCTCCCATAACCTTTAACCACTTCTTGAGCCAGAAGTGTGTTGTCAACAATGCTTCTACCTTTAATGAAGGCAGTTTGATTAAGTGAAACCATTCCTGGGATAAGGCTTGACAGTCTTTTGACAATAATCTTGGTGATGGCCTTGTAAATGACTGAGCAACAAGAGATTGGTCTGAAATCTTTGACTTTGCTTGGATTAGGCATTTTAGGAATCAAGGCAATGGTAGTTGCATTAAAGGCAGGGAGAAGAGAAGAGTTCTGGAAAAAATATTTGATAGCATTGATCATATCCTCACCTACAATGGACCAAGCAAATTTGAAAAAATATGGAGTGTAACCATCAGGTCCCGGAGCCTTCTCATTGCCCTGGCTAAAAATAGCTTCTTTGATTTCTTCTGAAGTAATATCTTGACAAGGCCAGAAGCAGAATCATGAGGAAGAGAGTAATTAAGAATATCTTTTAGAAGCTTCTGATTAATGTTCTTAACCCTAGGATCTGATTTCCCAATCAGATCAGTGAAGAAAGATAAGACTTCCGCAGCCATGGAGTCAAAGGATTCAAGTCTTGTCCCATGGTCATCAATAAGCATTCAAATAGTGTCCTTCTTATTTTTAATAGCCACAACAGAGTGGAAAAATTTGAACATTTGTCACCTTCCTTGATCCATTGCACCTTTGCTTTTAGCTTCAGAAACATTAATTCAGCTTCCTCAAGGGAGGATAATTCCTTTTGGATTTGTAGTTCTTTATCAAAGAGTTCCTCTCCCTTTAGTGAAAGAAGTTGATGGTGTTCAAGCTCGAGTCTTTTTTGTTTAACTCGGGAAGAGATATCACTGTAGCAGGAGTTGTTTAAATTTTTAAGGCTCGACTTGGTTTGCTTGAGTTCGAGGAAAAGAATCTTCATGGGATTACCAAAGAAAGTCTTATGCCAGGATCTTTCAACCTCGTTCAAAAAATTTGAGTGAAGCGTCCAAAAATTGAAGAATTTGAATGGTTTTGGACGGTTAGTGGGGTGTCTTTATAGAGCCATGTGATGGCCATACAATGATCCGAGACTCGAGGGGGGAGAAATTCAACAGAAGATTTAGGGATGGAGTTAACCCAGTTGGTGTTGATGAAGACCCTGTCACGCTTCCTTGCAAGGTAAGTTTAAGCTTGTTTGTTACTCCAAGTGAATAATGGACCTATGAAAGGGTGATCACGGAGATCTAAGTCTTGAGTTATATCTTGGAATTCTTTCATTTCAGAGGTTGAGGCTGGACAGTGAAGATCAAAGTCAGAGCTCTCATTAGGAATGATGGTAATGTTAAAATCACCTCCCAATATCCAAGGAAGGTGGCCAATCTTTCTATCCAAGTCTTGCATCTGGTGCCAAAGTTGCCTTCTAATGATGCCATCATTACTTCCATAAACAGCTGTGATGACAAAAGGAATTCCACAATACTCTCCTTTGACTGTTAAGGTTTGATCAGTAACTTGAATGATAGTTAAGTCAATACTTTTCTTCCAAAGAACCCAAATTCTACCATTAACAGCACATTCATAATTAGAACAGACTTTCCAATTGGCTAATTTGGAGTCAATGATGTTCTTGGAATTTTGAACTTTAACTCTAGTTTCAAGTAAGCAGAGGATATCTACATTATTTTGAGAAGCCCTAAGGAGCACTTTATTCTGTTTTAGAGGATTATTGAATCCTCTAATATTCCAGAAAGTAATGATCATTGGGATAACAATCCCTTAGAGGACCTTCACCCTCAGCTATTGAACTCTTGGATTGGTCCACTTTTTCCTTCCTTTTGCTTTTGAGTTCTTTGACTATTTCAGCTACTCCCTTAGAAGCAATGCGTGACTTCTTTTGACTGCCTTCGATAATAGGTAAATTTTCATCAACCGAATTGAGAGCCTCAAACCTATTTTTTGATCCTGCTAAAATTGCTTTGTCTTTTATAGGCCTTCCTCTGCCTCGTTTGGGAGAAGAGTTAGGTAGTTTCACTGATGACATACTTATAAAAATAAAGATAAACGCAAACACATATTATTGGAAATACAAAAAAAACAAATTATATGAGAATTTAAAATTTTTAGAGGATGATTATTATCACCAACCCTTGAATCAACCATGTAGACACACGTACAAATATATTCCATAGACACGATTCTCTATTTCCTATTAGGTCCATTCAAAAAAATATTTCCTATTAGGGCTACATGGTTTCCTCTTCATCTCTTTGCTATATAGGTATTATAAGCTCTTAGCTTAATTTGTAACTTATCTTTTTGCTTTAAATGATTATACAAGCACATTTGACCACCTAATTATCTTCATATAAAAAGGGAAAACCCTAGACAAAAACTTGTATGTGTATATGGAAATAAATTAAGATTTTAAGAAAACCCTAGATTAAGGCAAAAACATGATAAACTACTAAATGATCATATGCATAGTTGCTCTTAGAATTAGGGGGGAAACACAAACCTTGGGAATTTGTTGTTCTTAACAGCTTTCTGCCCATATTTTCTCCAACGATATCCATCGTCAAGTATATCAACTTGGCTCCTCGTTTGAAAAGCATACCTGGGCTTCCTTATCTTCTTATCCTTATCTCCTGGTTTCTTAACCAAGTCTAAGATCTTAGACCCCAAGAACCCATCAAAGGAATTCCGACGAAAGTTGCTAGAAACATGAGAATCAGGCGCCATGTTTAATGGTAAAGGCTGAGCTGCTTCTGCAGGTGGGTCCGACGTAGGAAAGAACATTTGATAACTCTCCATATATATTATAAACACCGGTACTGCTTATATCTGTGAAGAAGAAGATGGATCAGAGAAAGTCTGTCTGCGAAGAAGAAGATGGAACGTATTGTTTGGGGAAGATGAAGGAAAGAAGAAGAAAAATGCATAGTCATATATATATGGGATTGCTGCTGAGCAGACTATATATAAAATATAGTAAATAGGCGGCACGACAATTTTTCTTTAGAAAGATAGCAGATATTGTGGAAAATTGTGGCGGCTTCATCATTAGGATTTAGGACAAAGATTAAAAAAATTGGTTGAGAAAATAGCAAACCAAGAGAGTACGTTAATTAAGATTTGTTTTAGTTAGAATCACATTATTGTTTTAATTTAATAGATTATAGATAAATTAGACAAAAATATACAGTAAGGATTTTCTCGTAAAATATTTATAAAACAAAATTTATTATTATTATTATTATTAGTATAAATTATGTTATTTGGACTCAAATAAATATATTTAAGATTAAAATTATAAATATTTTGATAATAATCGTGAATATTATTAAAGCTGATGAAAATGCTAGGGTTGTGATGGATAATGTTTTTTCTATTTTTTCCTTTTTCTTTTTCTCTGTTTTTTTTATTAATATATTTCAAAAAACCAAACAATATTGTCGATATTTACTTCAAATATTAGGTATATAATTTTTAAAAAAATTATATTAACCTTAGAGCAAAGTGTCTATTTTTAAGATTACACCAATCAAAATGATTATATATATAATATAAAATCATCCATGATATGGTCAAATTTTATTTTATTTATCTTATTTTATTTTTCCGTCAATACTAACCATTTGTTTTTACAATAGTATTATTACTTTCCGACGTTAGTTACTGTAATCTCTTTTATGTGTGAATAATATTATCACGTGTATTTATTTTTAGAAAAAGGACCTTTCATCTTTGGTTGTGTGTGAAAACTTTTGTTCCATCTATGTATTTTATATTGAAAATTTATTTTCGCTCTTTTAAATTTTATAAGTTTAAGTTCGTCCCCTAACTTAAATTCATGCATCTATCCCGACTTATAATATAGGCAAAAATACATTTAAGGCCCTCTATTTTTGAAAAAAATTAATGGTCGTCGAATTATTTTCTCACCTAATATGGTCAATCAACTCAAAAACATACCAATATGACCTTTTGGCCAATGTTTTTCATTGTTGACCTTACAGTGTTGACGTGGCAATTCACGATACTGATGTGGGTTTATGGTGGATGACGTGACAGATGGACTAAATTGTTTCTTTGATTTATTCGATGGCCAAATTAAGTTTTTTTGTTCAGGGACTTGTTTAATTTTTAAATTAAAAATTATCTTAAATTTAAAATTTAAAAATTTAAAAAATATAAAATAATAAAAATTAAATTACTAAAAAAATGTATATATATATAAGGATATATTAAAAATACTATTATTTTTTTAAATGAATATATATATAGTAAAATTAAAAAATAAAAAATATTCAAAAATAAAAATAAATTAAAAATCATAATATATGTATGTAATATATAATAATATCATTAACACTTATACAAAGTATGGGTGTTCAAATTTCAGTTAAAACTGATTTAACCAATTAATAGAAAATATACAGATTAATATATAATATGTATTATTTATAAATTTTGGTTAATCCAAATTAATCAAAATTATTAAATATTTAATATATATATATATATAACTTAGTCTTAAGAGTGTTTAAACTTCGGTTTTAATCAAATAATCAAAAATATAAAATATTTAATTCAAAATATATATTATTTATAAATTTCTAGTCTAACAACCGATTTTGGATCGTTGGTTATTTTTAAAAAAATACGGTTCAGTTAATGGTTAATGAGAAAAAAATTTGGTTGATGCAATTTTGGAAGTTCGGTTCGGTCGATTAACTGAATCGAGGGATTGAACACCCCCTAATAAAAATTATTATGGCTAAATTAGTTGAGATTTAAAAATTTTGTATTAAAATATAAATAGATTTGTGTACTGATACAAGTAACTTACGAAATTTGTAAATTTCGATTAATCTAGTCAAAGTACTTTATATAAGTGCTAATGATATGACAATATATTACATGTATACATTATGTATAATATATGTTTTTAGAAATATTTTTATTTTAATAATTTATAATTTTATATGTTATGATATATATTTAATTTTTCTAATTTTAATAGAATTTTTAGTTTTTTAAAAATATATTTAATTTTTTTAGTAATTCAATATTTTTTTAGAATTTTTTTATATTTAATTTTTTAAATATTTGAATAATTTTATATTTTAATTTTAAAATATAAGATAATTTTTATTTTTTAAAAATAGGCCCTAAACTTTTTAGAAAAATCAATTTGGCTCTCGAACAAGACCAAAAAACCAATTTATCTCATTTATTGTGTCATTAATTACTGCGGACTACCACATTAACACTGTGAACTGTCACATCAGCATCGTGAACCACCATATCAATATCATAACGGTCAACGACATAAAACGTTAATAAAAAGGTCATATTTAGTATGTTTTTTTAGTTAAAAGACCACATTAGGTAAAAGTAATAATTCAAATGTCATATTAATTTTTTTTTTTTTAAATTGCATTGGCCTCGTACAACTTTTTTACTAATATAATACATTCTTTGCTTTTTTTCTTTCATTTGGGGTGATGGGTGCCATGTCGTTGCAGTGATTGTGAGACTGAGCCGCCGCCTCGGTTTCCAGGAACTTGCTCAAATTAGCACGAAAATCATAATGCAAGAGACTTGGCCTTTAAAATTTTGGAATAAAGGCATGGAAAATCCAATGAGAGGATTCTCCACCCAAATCAGTGTTTTGTTTTGATGGAACGAGTAGTGACTATATCCTTAGAATTTGGTAAAATTTATGGAAAGTAAACAAGGCAAAGTCATTCCCACTTTTCCATATGTTTCCTCAACTTAAGACAAGATAATGACCCCCTACACTGTGTCTTCATGATATTAACATTCCCTCTCCTTTGCTTGAAAGAGAACAAGATGGTCAAGGAACCACCAATATCACACTCTACGGACATAAATTTTGACCGCTTTTCATTCATATCATAGTAGTGTCTATGTAACATCCACCGACTTCAGCGATACAAAATTATTAATGTTTTAAAGAAAAAAAACTCGAATTCGAGTCGTCGTATTTGTTAGGTATGTGTCCGTTATCAATAAGTTAAGAAACATTAAGCATATATTATATTACAATCATACCCGAGTTTCTATGAATGAATTTCTTCAAAAAGGAATTGAAAATGTTGAGATTGGTTTCTTGTCTAATTTCCACACCTTCCATACCAAATTCATTAGAATGGTTGGGGAGCTTATTTAGGACTTCTTAGTTCTTTTAAGGTATACAGACTGTTTGGGAATTGACTGTTCGTAAATTTATATATAACACTCTAAATTTGATCCGATATAAATAATAACTCTAAACTATTATATTAAATCGTCAAAATGATAATTAAAATAAAAGTTCTTTTGTTTTTAATTATCATTAATATGGTTGAATATTAGATATCCAAAATAATAATATTCATAATCATTGCAAATCGTTTATACAAAACCATAACTCCTTGATATATAGTGTAAATTAAAATATAAATCAATGTTATGGGTTCGGATTTTGGAGATTGAGTATGGAGCAAATTAGGTCGAGAGGGTCAAGTCTATAACGAGTCTTTATAAAATTCGATTTGGATTAATCGATCAATAGATTGAATACAAATTGCTATTTCAAACAATATATAAATCAAAATAATGGTGAAGTTATAAACCAATTACAAATAAGGGTGTGTTTGTTTCATGTAAATGATTTTACGGAAAATGTTTTCCGTGTTTTTAAGTGTTTGATTCGAGTAAAATAAAAAGTCAATGTAAAACAAATCACTAGTCAACTGAAAAAACACGCTGAACCGGTAATAGTAAAAGTTGAACTTACTGTGAAATCTGATAAGCTTGTTTAATGTCCTCAGTTTTGGAAAACTGGTGAAGTTTCTTTTGAATGGTAGTCGTTTGTGCTGGTCTTGAATTCCATGAAGCAGCTGCCATTGTTGAATGAGTTTAAACCCATCTAGAAACTTTTCATCTTAAGTACAAGAAAATTAAGAATAAACGAAAAAAGGACAAGGAAGTTTTTGAACTTTCAACCTGCCCCCAACAGCCGAGTAAATGAGTAATTTGACGATACGTCGTTAGAATTTGATCTAATTTAATTTGATTGAAAGTAGAAAAATTATTCTATTTTATGTTTACTAAGAGTAGGAAACATAGTCAGATTATATTTCTCGAAATGCATGTTCTCTGTATAATCAAACAACAATTCCTATACTTAAATACTAGTGATCATGGTTAGAATAAAAATTGTTCATAGAGATTCTTCTTATATTCTTTTATTTTCGATATTGGTGAAAAAAATTTATTTTGTCTGTGATTTTTCTCGAAATATTTTTTTCACGTAAAATCTTGATGTTTAATTTATTGTACAATCACTATACATGTTATCTTCTAGTGTATGTATAGGGTGTAAGTGGGGCACGTATTTGTAAGTTAATATTGTTTCCTCTTCGAAAAAGCACTTGAATTCAATTTGGTCATTATCAAGCTCAAGTTACTCAAATTGTCAAACTATTTAATCTTATATATATCTTAATACTTGTCCTAGATAGTTCCTTAACCTAGCTAAGTAATCTTATCTAAATTAGAACTCTAATTAAAATATAAATAGTTAAGTTTTGAAGACAAATATGATAATTAAAATTATTTTTCAGCTAGATTCAAGTAATTGTTATTTTGATGAATTCAACTTGAATTTTAAGAATCGAACTTTGAACTTTTAATTTTAAGTCCTCAAGGCTCAAGCTTCTTAAAGCAAAAGCCAGCGGCCTAGTTTGGTATTCATTGAATTGGCCCAATTTATGATCATAAAGAGCAAACCCATAAACACA